AGGGGCCGTAGTCCCAGCTACTTGGGAGGCAGAGGCAGGAGAATCACTTGAGCCCAGGAGTTGGAGGTTGCTGTGAGTTGTGATGCCACAGCATTCTACCCAGGGGGACAGCTTGAGGCTCAGTCTCAAAATAAAAAATAAAAATAAAAATAAAAATAAAAATTTAACACCTGAATTGAAATATTCTTTACATGTAAAACACACAGCAGGTTTCAAGTAGTTATTATGAAAAATAGAGTGTATAATATCTCATTAATAATTTTTATATCGATTACATATTGAAATGATAATTAGATTAAATGATTAGATTAAATGGATAGATATGATATCTTAGTGAGCATTTAATTTGGAGATCTGCTTCACTTTAGGCATTTTCATTTTGTATTTCATCTTTAACACAGGAATAAAATATGAACTACAGGACCCTGGGAGGGAGCAAAGGGGAATTTCAGTATTTGGGCCTCAGATTTCACAAGCCAGTCCCAATGTCCTCAGTTATAACTTGATCTTGCCCATGACTCTCCTGGTTTAGTTTCTCTAAGAAATGTCACTATAGATCTTTTTTTCCTTATTCTATTTCCCACAGGGTGAAAAAGGTGACATGGGTGCGATGGGCCTGCCAGGGTCAAGAGGACCAATGGGCTCCAAGGTGAGTGTGTGATCCAGATGGACATTCCCAGGTTTTCTGTTCTAAGGCTCTAGAACAACTGCCATCTACCAAGAAGGGGACCAGATGGGGCTGCTCCCCTGGGCTGGGGAATGTCACAGGTATTAAAGGACCTAGCAGCAGGGTGCTTGCCTTTACCAGCCCTTTGTGGGGGCATCATGCCCTGGAATACAGAGGCACAGGGATGCCATTCCTGCTGTTCTCCTGGGCAGTGAAGGTCAAGCCTCTGGACAATAGGACTGATGGAAACCTTTGATCAAGTCTTTGCAGGGTGAGAAAAGCAGTGTTCCTTTTAGGCCTGTTATAAACACAACCTCTGGGACATCTCTGCATTTATTGCTATAACCCCACTAAAACGTCCAGCACAATGTGGAGACACATATAACCACCATTTTCAGAGATTCCTTCCACTCTTGCACCAAACCCGAAGGTCCTACAGGGCTGACTATAAACGTTCCTTTTGCTTTCTTTTAGGGATATCCTGGATCCAGAGGGGAAAAGGTTGGTGCTGGTCTCTGATGGCATCCAGAGCCTGGTGTGGGGAGAGGCTCTGGCTTCGGTAATAGCAGAGGGTGGGCCCTGGTCTCTCTTTAGTCAGCAACTGCAGTGACTGTCCCTAGATCTTTCCTGTCCTTTGTCAGTGGGCTGAGACAGAAGTAAGGGGCCTCTTGAAACAAGGAAGCAGGTTAAGGTGGGAACCCCATGGAGGCAGAGGCCCTTCCCACAGAGCAGATGAGCAAATGAAGGCCGGGCCAGGCACAGAGTGGACACAGTCTGCATGGTGGGCGGAGGCAGATGGCAGACGTGTGTCTTTAGGCCAGGCTTCTGCCACCAACCTTCTCATCTGCTCAAAACCAAACTGAACTGAAACAAAAGCAGCATAACCTGGGGACAGTTTCCCACAGGATGAGAGAGGATCTGGACCTAGGATTTTTTGTGAGTTGCCCTTTACTAATGTAAGAGATCTTTGGGGTTCAAATAGAAGGTAGATCACAAAGCATTCTGTCCCTGGGCAGGTCACCTACTATCTCTGAGCCTAACTGCCTGCCAAATGAAGCTACTGGCTTAGGGAGCTCTTCAATTTAAAATGTTCCACTTGTCCCCCATGGTATTAACTGTCTCCTGTGGTTTCCTCCTAGGGATCCAGAGGTGAAAGGGGTGATGTGGGTCCCAAAGGAGAAAAGGTAATGGGCATTGCACAGAAATGACACACTTCTATGGAAATGGCAGCCTCTTGTCCACCCCCACCTGTAGACGGATGAAGGACTGACAGACAGGCCTCCATCTTTAAAGTGGCCAACCAAGCTTGTCCATAGCTCTTTCAAGTGTTAGTTATTTCAGAGATGGTCACAATGTTCGATGTTCTTTTCACAGGGCTTCCCAGGATTTCCTGGAATGTTGGGGCAGAAAGTAAGTACCTAGAAGTTAGCCCTCTGTTAAAAAAAAAAAAAAATCAGGCCCTCCAAGCATAACAAAAAGAATTCTACATCTTTGTCTACCAGGGAGGAAAAGTGGGTTTAACTAGGGAAGGTTCTGGCTTAGGGTGGATGGTAAGTTGCCTTACATACTAGAGACAGGTGGCCAGATGGTCTGAAAGCTCACTCCAACCCAATGTGGAGGGGAGGACACCCCCAGAGAGAGGCTTTTCGTTGCTTTTCCTGCCTCCTAAAGGGCTATGGTAGTATTCAAATTCAGAAACCAATCTGAAAAGGGGCTCAGATCTGAGTTACAAGGGTCAGGGCCCCCTCAGGGCATGGGCCTCAGTGCAAAGAACAGGCATCTTTAGCTTAATGTCATTGCTACCTAAACTCTTACCGCAGTCCTTCAAGGGTGGTGCACATTCTGCCAGAGAGACACAGAAGTATTTAAATAGTTAAATGTTTAGTGGATATCTTACTTGGAAGAAGACTTAATAAAGGAATCAGTTTCAAGGAACTTTTTTTTTTTTTTGGTTTGTTCGTTTGCTTTTGAGACAGAGTCACCTCTGTCTCACCTCTGGTAGAGCGCTGTGGCATCATAGCTCACAGCAACCTCAGACTCTTGGGCTCAAGTGATTCTCTTGCCTCAGCCTCCCAAATAGCTGGTACTATAGGTGCCCACCATAACACCCGGCTATTTTTAGATGTGAGGTCTCTCTCTGGCTCAGGCTGGTCTGGAACCCATGAGCTCAGGCAATCCACCCACCTCAGCCTTCCAGAGTGCTAGGATTATAGGCGTGATCCACCGCGTCTGGCCAGTTTCAAGTAACTTAAAGGAAAAAAATTTTCTGTGAATTACAATAGAGTGGTGTGCATGCAGATTTGTCCAAGATTGTGAAGGTAGCCATTGGCAACAGATTGTTGGAAAGTTTGACTTAGAATAGGACCTAGGGAAGAAGAATAATAGTGGGTTAGGGGGAGTATCAGAGATTAAAGACAGAAAAATAAAAGAAAAAATAAAGACAGAAAGTGCATAAATGGCCACTTAGAACAGCTTTTGGCTGGGTCCAATAGCTCATACCTAAAATCCCAACAATTCGAGAGGCCAAGGGAGGAGGATTGCTTGAGGCCACATGTTGGAGACTAACCTGGACAACACCATGAGACCATATCTCTACAGAAAAATCAAAACTTAGCAAGGCATGGTAGCATATTCCTATAACTCCAGCTTCTTGGGAGCCTGAGGCAAGAGAATCACTGGATCACAATGAGCTGTGATCACACCACTGTATCCCAGCTCAGCTCAGATGACAGTGCAAAACCCTGTCTCTAAAAAAAGGAAAAAAGGCTGGACATGGTAGCTCACGCCTGTAATCCTAGCACTCTGGGAGACTGAGGTGGGTAGATTGCTTGAGCTCACAAATTGGAGACCAGCCTAAGCAAGAGCAAGACCCCATCTCTACTAAAAGTAGAAAAAGAAAAACTAGCCAGGCATTGTGGTGGGCACCTGTGGTCCTAGCTATACTGGAGGCCGAGGCAAGAGGATCTCTTGAGCCCAAGAGACTGAGGTTGCTGTGAGCTACAATGACACCACAGCACTCTACCCAGGGCAACAGAATGAGACTCTATCTCAACAACAACAAAAAAGGGACAGATCCTAAGCTAACATGGTGGTATTGGTTGCTTATGTCATATGGCATCAGAAATTGTTATTTTAAACCTAGGTCTCAGAAGTAGTCTTCAAACATGCAAATGAATGCCCTCTTAGTATTTTTAATTTTTTAAAGTTCACCTTAAACTTTTATTTTCCAAACTTGAATAAACAGTCTTATCTGAATTTATCCAGCCAGTAGAAAATGTTTAAATATTTTTAATCAGAGACCAGGTGTGGTAGCTCATGCCTGTAATCCTAGCACTCTGGGAGGCTGAGGCGGGTGGATTGCTTGAGCTTAGGAGTTCAAGACCATTCTGAGCCAGAGTGAGACTCCGTCTCTAAAAATAAAAAATAAGCCAGCTGTTGCAGCCAGTGCCTATAATCCCAGCAACGTGAGAGTCTGAGGCAAGAGAATCACTTGAGCCCAAGAGTTTGAGGTTGCTGTCAGCTGTGATGCCACAGCACTCTACTAAGGGTGACATAGTGAGACTCTGCCTCAAAAAAATAAAATAAAATAAAATAAATGAAAATAAATAAGTAAATAAAATATTTTCAATCATGTGTTAATTTATTATGATATGTCACCACCTTAAGCTGTCGGAAACTGTTCCTGTGACCCTAGATAGGGTGCTGGATTTTAAAAAATAGATAAATTATATAAAAAAAAATAAAGGAAGCATTAAAAGATAAAAAATAATTTTATTTTTCAATATTTAAAATAAAATTAACTCAGTGTGACAGTGAACCTCAAAGAATAATAAAAATCACTGTAAAATTATGACGGCTTCTCTGACCTGACCACTATCCCATTTCTAGACTTGCCATCTAAAGAGATTTCCTCTCCTTTCATGGCAGCCTGTTTTAAGCCAGAGCTGATATGATAACCATAATTATGTCCTAGGAGGAGAGAAATTAGATCAAGAAATTACTGGCTGCTTCCAGTTGATGTGGAGAAGGGCCACAGTTCCTTCTGAAATCTCTTTAAAAAATTCATGCTGCCTGTGCCGCTGTTTTCTCCCACACAAACAAGACATCCCCGGTCCCCTCTAAACAGCCACAGGAAAATTGCACAAACAGCTCCATGGACGCGTAGAAAGCACCCTGTCCTCTCACATTCTCTCCCTGCCTAGATTGCTGAAAGATGCATGAGTTGGAAAGAAATCATACATGAAAGGACAATTCTTGGTGAGGCAAGACACTGGTGGCTTGAGTAGGGACAAATTTATTACATTGGTTGAGCTGACAGGTTATTTCAGAGCTTTACGCTTGATCCATTCTGTATACTGGCGTTTCCCGGAGCTTTCCATTGTGTCTAACTTCTGAGCTCCACACAGAAAGGTGCTGGGGGTTGATTGCTATCTCTGAGTGGGTGGGCGGCTCCTCACAGGCACCAGCTGCTGACTAACAGAGATGCTTGTGGTTGTAGTTGCTAAATTTATCTCAGTGGTGGTGCTTTCTGGGCTGTCGGGGGATGGCTGGCGATAGGAATGAGCATCCCGTGGGTTCATGACTCAAAGAAAAAACATAAGCGTGGTCAGAGTATACACTTCTATACACTTCTACACACTTCTACAAGTATAGAAGTGTAATAGAGGGAATTGCCTGGGGGAAAAAACCCTGCAAAAATGTTTTCTGTCTCTTTAAAATGTCCCCCGTTCTTTTGGGGAACTGAGACCTACATCCCTGCCTAGGGTGGTGGATGGTGGTTCTATGGGCAGGGGAAAGTCTTCTGTTCTTTGCGCAGCAGAAGCTGAGCAGTCAGACTGACATAGGGTGGGCAGAGGTCATGGCAGAGATGGGACAATTAAAATCATTAATTGTGGTTAAATGGCAATATTGTAGAATTGAGGGCCCACTCTTTAAAAACTCTGTATTTCTGCTGATGTACAGAAACTTGGACTTTTAAGTCTTCCATTTTTCTTTCTTTGCTGGCAAAATAACAAACTTCTTCCTTCTCCTCAATCACTTTACCTTGTTTTCTGATGCAGCTTCTAGGACAAGTGCTGAGCTTTCAATAACAGAAGAAAAAGAGAAACCAAGATGGATAAATGGGTTTTGTGAAAGATTGGCCTTAAACTATGAAATTCTGCATTTGGAGCATTTAGCTCTGAAAGTTCAACATACGCTTATCAAATAGGAATATCGTTTACATAGTTTTCCAAGCCTTTTTCCATAATTATAATTGATTATTTGAACATTTGTTTGGAACATCTCTCCCTGCAAAAATCAAATGGAACTCAAACCAATGTTTACTGAAGAGTGGGGAAATAGATTCTTCCAAGTAAAGGTCATTGAATGAGCAGAAACTTCCTAAAGATGATGGGTGGGAAAACTGTGCCAACCTTTCATTCAAAACATTTACATTTAAATTTGTGTTAAAAACCAAACATAACCAAGCACAACACAGAATTTCAACTAAAAGAAAAAGCATTTTCCCCAGAGAGTCATAGTGTCACGGGCACTCATGGGACAGAACTACACAAATCTCCCACTCTGGCTATGCTGAATGATGGTTCGTCTCGCCCATTTGGCCACCAAAATGTGTGCTGTCCCACAGATTTCTCTCTCAGATAAGAAATATCCCACCCAGGGTTGCTTTCTTTCTTCCTCTTCCTTGAAAAGATGTGCATACCTTTCTCAGGACTTCATCACTTCTCAATCTCCCAGGACAGCTCAGTTGGAAAGATCTAGAAACCGTTAGATAGATCTGTGTAGGTGTGCCTACTGCACGTATCCTAATGTCTATCTTACTTCTCTTTCTTCTTTCCAGGGTGAAATGGGTCCGAAGGGTGAGCCTGGGCTAGTAGGACACAGAGGACCCACGGGAAGACCAGGAAAACGAGGCAAGCAGGTAAGGATCCCAGGACCTGCTGACCTGGGGGTGCAGGGAGCAGCAGGTAGTGGGGGCGGGGGTTCAGGCAGAGCTATTTCATAGACCCAGACGCAACATCCTTTGGGTTGTTGGACAGAAGTAGCACCACTTCTGGAGACCACCGTCATCCTTAGGTTAACCAGAGTTTGAGGCAGAATGGATAGGATGCTCCATTAAGACTGTGTGCAAGGCTAGATGTGAGAGTGGATAAGAGCAAGTATCTTCACCAAAGCAAGTTGGAATGGAAGCCGAATGTGGTCAATTGCCCAGAAAATCCACTTTTTGCCCCACTATCCCAGACATAAATGGGGGTTTGAAAAAGAGTCCCGATAGTTCCCTGCTGTTGAAGAGTTTTCTGGGTCCCAACAATAGGGTGTTTTTGCCCCACTCAAGCCCTCAATTTATAAGTGACCTTTTCTATTGAGTTTATTAAAGGGTTTGGAGACATTGTTCATTCTGAGCTCCTACCGGTCAGCAGGCTCTTGTGTTAAGCCTTGTGATGTGACAGAGAGAGGAGAAAGGAAGAAGCATTTGCCTTGGCTGGCTTGAGAGCTGTAATGGATGCTTCAGAGAAACATCTGGTCTTTTCTCTAATAGACAAGCACTCCTGAGAGAGGATGTGCCCTTTTACTTTTTTAGTTACATTTAGTTTACCTCCCTTCCCATTATAAATGTAATATAAAATCATAATAGAAAACTTGGAAAATTCAGAAATATGGGTGGGAAATCATCTAAAGACTTAATATCCAGTGGTTATAACCACTGTTGGTGGTTATAGTGTCGTTTTGGTATATTTTTTTCCAGTATTATTTATTTTTATACTTTCTAGTTGTTTGGATTTTTTAAAAAAAAAAAACATTCATTATATTATTATTAAAGTAAAAAAAATTTTTTTGAGACAGTCTCACTCTGTCCCCCGAGGTAGAGTGCTGTGCCATCATAGCTCACAGCAACCTCAAACTTTTAGGTTCAAGTGATTCTTTTGCCTTAGCCTCCCAAGTAGGTGGGACACAGATTAATGACACAATATGCACATTTTTGCTTGTTACTGCAAGGCATTTATTAAGCATGTTACAACATCTTTTAAAATGTCTGCATCTCACACCTATGGTGCATCTTACAAGGGTACATGTGAAATTTACTAGGTGTAGAATATAAATGTCTTAACACAATAACTAAGAAAATGCCGTGAAGGCTATGTTAACCAGTTTGCTGAAAACATTTCAAATTATATATAAAACCAGCACATTGAACCCCATGATTGCATTAATGTACACAGCTATGATTTAATAATAAAAAAAGTCTGCATCTCATTTTAGTAAAATGAGTAAATAGATTGCCTGGTCAAGAGAGGCCTATTCAAATTATATACAAGATAACCTCCATAAGTTGACTACCCAAGGGGCTGTAACAAACTGGTCAGCATACAGAAGTTATCAACATAAGGACCTGGGCCTACTGTACTGACCCATACATGAGGTGCATGTCAGTCTATGAAAATTAGGTCAATTTAAGGAAGTGTTCAGTGTAGGGAGGTGGTCAACTATGGAGGTTCTACTGTTTAATGCTGAAAGGTGAATATCTTTGTATGTAAAGCTTTTTCCATACTTTAAATTATTTCCTTAGGCTAGATCTGTGGTTCTCAAACTCTGTTTTACATTAGCATCACCTGCGGGGGGTGTTGATTGACTACAGATGTACAGATTTCCTACACCTGGTGCAATGGCTGTAGTTCAAGTGTGCCTCTCATTGACCCAAGGACTGATATAACTGACCTGGAATAGGCCTTCAGCATGGGGGATTTATTTATTTATTTATTTAGAGATAGAGTCTCATTCTGTTGCTCAGGCTAGAATGCCATTGTGTCATTGCTCACAGCAACCTCAAACTACTGGGCTCAAGTGATCCTCTTGTATCAGCCTTCCTGAGTAGCTGAGATTACTGGTGCCCACGAGCATGCATGGATAGTTTTTGTAATTTTAGTAGAGATAGGGTCTTGCTCTTGCTCAGGCTGATCTCAAACAATCTACAGAGTTCAAGCAATCTACCCTCCTTGGCCTCCTAGAGTGCTGGGATTACAGGAGTGAGCCACTGTGCCTGGCCAGCATGGGGTTTTTTGAAAGCTGTCCATGTGATTCTAATGTGCAGCCAGGGTTCTGAACGATGGTAACACTACAAAGCCAATTCTGGTCTTTTCCAAGTACATTTAGAAATTATACGGGCTCTAGCCTGGGGAATTCAGACTGCAAATTCACTTTGTGGTCACACTATTCCAGTCCAGTTTCCAAAGTTTTACAATGGGTAGCTTGATCGTGGCTTCACAACCATGCCACAGATTTCCTTAAAACTAGGCTGAGAAAAAGGAGGAAAAAGTGGGGCACGGGGTCTGTTCTTTTACCACTTTCTCTGCTGATAATTTCAATCTAAAATATTTTATGTTTGGGGTTTAAAAAACCTGTTGGCTCTGTCCTCAAGTACTTTTCTGGGGCTATATTTGTCTTTTCTTGATGACAGGCAAAGCCAAAAAGGCTATTTCTTGACCCTGTTGACGTTGATTCACTTCTAGTAATCTTAACACTATACTAAAATCACACTTGGGAGCTCAGAGAAGTTAGAGAAATGAGCTTAAGCTTTCTACAAGACATTATAATCAACTCGAGTGTGCTCCAAATCCTCGGGGTCTTTCTAGCCACTCCACGTGTCTGGTGGGAAAAGGCCGCTCCCTGAGTGGTTAGCCTTGGAAGCCTGCCACGTACTTTCTTTTTGTCATGAATGAATTTCCTGGTGTAGACATAGTCTTACATCTCCCAGGTTTGTTAGGCCAGCAGAGCTGAGTTTCTGGAGGTTATTGTAAGTCAATCCAAAACCAGGAATCAGAAATCCAAAAGGGATTTCGCATTAGAATTTTCTAGGCAGAGGATTTTAGAGATCACTTAACCCAGTTTCCTAGGTTTATTCACAGGCGGCTGAGGGCCAAGGAGGTAGAGTTGATTGCCCAAGACCTCCTCAGCTAAGCCAGCTTCAATGCCAGGGTTAGAAATCAGAGTCAAGACCAGCCTTTCCCCACATCCCTTCTTCTCTTAATCACCTTTTTACTTGAGGACTTGTCTTGGGGAAGCCCCAGGAAAGCAGCTGTGGACTTTATTATAAAAACTTATAGTTTACAGAGACAGAACAACTTCTTTGAGAGAGATCACCCAACTTGTGGCAAATAAGGAGTAAAGAATGCCTTTCCTGGAAAGATATGGCTCATTCTGAGCAGATGACTGATAAACAGAATATCCCATTACTGCTGGTGTCAGAATTAAGAAGCATCCAGCTCCTTCAAGCTTTGGCACTTCCTGTGCTCAGAGCCAGCTGACCTGGCTGTTAGAAAAACAAGCCTTAACTGTGACTATATTAAGACGGCGTGACTTCCTTTGCCATTCTGGGACCCATCTTGGTTACTGCCTGGAATGCTTCAGCTTGGGCTAAGGCTTAAGAACTCCCTCCATAAGGATGGAATTGGAAATAGTCTGACCTCACAGGTCCCATATGAAGGGTTTACGAGTTCCATGGACATTATTGAGAGGGCCTCCGGGGTTAGGTTGACAAGGAGGCAGGTCGCATGTCACCATTGTGATTGGAAAGGAGACGCTGGCATGCCTACTTCCCAAACTTGGGGAAGATCATGTTTCATCAGGCAAGTAAGCCTGCCAAGGCACAAGTATAGTAAGGAGAGCCAGGCTAAAGATGTTGGGTATCAATCACTGCCCTGATTAGCCCTGGGGGAGGAGTGGACAATTTGAAAATTGCTCATAGGAAGAGCCCAGAGCATGCCCCAGCCAAGGTTTCTGGGGTCACCCCTAAGGGCAGCTTTGAGGGGGAACCAAGTGTCTGATCTGTGCTCTTGAAGCTCCCAGAGTGAGTAGAATGGCTTTATTTTATTGTAGTTTAGTTTAGTTTTTGAGCCAGAGTCTCACTCTGTCACCCTGGGTACAGTGTCATGGTGCCAAAGCTTACAGCAACCTCAAACTCCTGGGCTCAAGTGATCCACCTGTGTTGGCCTCCCAGAGTGTCGGGATAATAAGTGTGAGTCACTGCATTTGACCCTAGAACAGTTTTAGGCGAAGATGTGCATTTCCTTAAGAAAGCAGAACTTCTTCAGGACTGACTTTCTTTCTTTTTTTGTTTTTTTTTTTTTTTGAGAGAGACAGGGTCTTTCCCTTTTGCCCAGACTAGAATGCAGTCACATGACCATAGCTTACTATAACCTTGACCTCCTGGACTCAAGCAATCCTCCTGCCTCAGCCTCCTGAGTAGCTGAATTACAGATGCCTGCCACCACACTTGGCTAATTAATTTTTTAGTAAAGATGGGGGTCTTGCTATGTTGCTCAAACTGGTCTTGAACTGGTCTCAAGTAATCCACCTTCCCTGGCCTCTCAAAGTGCTGGGATTACAGGTGTGAGCTACTGTGCCTGGTCAGGACCTCTTTAACTGTGTGAAACCAGGCTAGTTGCTATGATAATCAGCATTCTCCACATAGTCCTTCATTCTGGGCAAACATTTTCACCTTGGAGATTTTTGTTAGTCTCATAACAAACCTATGTGGGTATACATTTACTGGTCCCATTTTGCAGATGACAAAAGTGAGGCACAAAGCAATAACATGAGTTAACCAGGGTCTCATGGTCAATGTGAAATCTCCAGATTTAGCAGATGGGCAAAGCTGCCTTCTCTTTGTGTTTCCAGCATTTCTTTTCTCCCTCATTTCCTCGGCGAAAGGGAGGAGAACAAGACCGACTGAAGCCCACAGAGAGCTTGTGTCTCATGGGGAAGCATTGATAAAATCACTGCTGAGATAATTTATATCCTCTGACCTGGAGTAAATGCCATGAAGGGAAAAAGCCAAGTTATGAGAAGGTTGGGGAGGGCTTTGCCACAAGGACATTGAGCTAAGAGTCAGAGGGTGGGTGGCAGTTAACTAAGCAAAGGGGAGGGAGACGAGTTTGAGGCAGAGAGAAGTGTCTTGACGGGAGGATAACAGGCATAATGTTCTTGAAGACCAAAAAGACCAAAATGAGGCTGGAAAGCCTGGCCATGCAGGGCCTCAGAGACTGAAGTAAGGAGCGAGATCTTTGTCCTAAGAGCAACGGGAAGCCATTGAATGAGACCAGCTCTTATCGTGAAATACAAGTGGTTCTGTCAAGCAGTCAGAGGCCTGAGTTCTACACCCAACTCTGCCACCTCCATGCAAGTGACTCACCTGGGTAGTTTCCTCATATACCCAGGTCAGGGTGTGGATTGGATTGATTCCTTACAGCTGTCATGTGTCATGTTTCTAGAACAGAGCAAGAACTAAGGTCTGCAGACTTGTAACCATTGTTATCTCAATGTCACTTTCCCTGAACTTTTTAGGAGCTAAGTGGTCAAGACCTTTGGGGCTGCATTCTGCCCTAGGCTCTTGCCCCTAAGTGCAAGGTAATTCCCTGATTTAGAGACAAATGGGGAAGGAAGTTTGTTATGTCATACTATGGTAACAGGCTCTGCCTTTCTTTCCATTAGGGACAGAAAGGAGATAGTGGAGTTATGGGTCCACCTGGCAAACCTGGGTCTTCTGGTCAACCTGGCCATCCAGGCCCCCCTGGGCCCCCAGGTCCCCCATCTGCAGGTAAGAGCTACCCTGCTTCACTTGATTTTGTGTCACACTCCTGGGCAGCTTCTGCAGAGAGGACACCAGGAGATGCCACCAGAGCTCTACCTTGTGTTTTAAACTGGAAACTGCCAGAGGCATTTTAATATCTTTATAATTTCTCTACAATTTAGTTCATTCACCTTTTATAAAAGCGAGATAAATGCCATTCTAGATTTGCTTTAGCATTTTGGAGAACAGAGGAAAGAAAAAGAAAAAAATTACCTTGAGGATGTCCTTTATACTTTAAGTGAAAAATAGCAGGCACATATTTCATCAACTCACACCTTTTTCTAGAAAAACATGTTTCATGGCTCCAAACAATCTTATTGAAACTACAAGAGATTTTTCTGTCTTACAACATTATGGAAGAGTCCTTATTTATTTACATTGACTATCAAAAGAAATTACCAAAAAGAAATAAAAATTCTGCTATCGGAGAGGGCATAGGCACTCTCTTATTTTACCTCGTTTAATTTGATGAGCTAAGCCCTGTGTGGCATTCCCTTGTCAAATCCTTTGTAATGCCTCTCACAGCACATCTGTATAAAGTCAGCCTCCCTAGGTCCAAGAAGACCATTTGCTGACTGTGCAAGATTTTCTGTCCTCACTTGTACAAAAAGAATAAAAAAAATTTTATTCCATCTTTTTAAAGAAAATGAATACATTTTAAAATTCCATAGTGATGGGGGGCAGTGCCTGTGGCTCAAAGGAATAGGGTGCCGACCCCATATGCCAGAGGTGGTGGGTTCAAACCCAGCCTGGCCAAAAATTGCAAAAAAAAAAAAAAAAAAAAAATTCCATAGTGCATTCCCCTCCCATGTTTACAAGAATGTATTTTTAGTGACATCATAGGATGAGCAAGCAATGTCATATTTTATTATATCTTTTGAACCAAACTAAAGCTGACTCTGAGACTCTGATCTCCTAGGATGCCAGAAAAATTCAGTCTCAGTCATTATTGGGGTTTTCACCACTCCTCCAACACTGCAAAGGGGTAGGAAAAAATCCTAGTGAATTGTGGCAGAAAAATGTCAGGGAAGGTCCTTCCAGCCTTTGGTCTACCCTGTTGTCCAAGTCTTATGGTCTGTGGATACTTAGTGTCCTCATGCCACGAGTGGTTATTATAATACTTCCAAGGCTAGGAATGTTGGTCCCTGTAATTCAGCTCCCCAAGGAGTGTCCCACAACCCTTCCTTCTGAGACCTGGTCTCTTCCTCAGGATACAGGGGCTTTATTCTCTCCATGTCTAGGGGAAATCTCTCCTCTTCCACCCTCCAGCCCCCTCCCTCCTTATCCTCCTTGTATACCAGCACCCAGTTGGGAGTTTTGCCTGCCTGAGAAGACAAGGCAGCAAGGCAAGTTTGTATTCAGATAGTACCTGCTTTTAGCAAGGACAAGAAAGCACAAAGCTCACTGCCTTTTTGAAACTGGAGGAAGAGGAAATATTGGGAAAACAAAGATCAGTGAGTACGGCAGTGATTTAATTTGCCACATCCCCAATGTTGTTGAAAGAAGGAGATTTGAGATGCAGTCCAGGCTGCATGTTCACACTCTGTGATCTGTTTCTGGGAGTCAGCTGGATGACCTATATGGGGTTCCCTTCAACTAGTCCTTGTCCTCCTTGGTTCTGACATGCATAACATTGCCCTGGAGTCCCATGACCATGAACTGCCAACACCAGAGACTGAACACATGGCCTGAAGCTTGGGTTTTGCTTTTGGAAGGGACTCTCTTGGCCCTTGGGGTGCATAGGTGCTTGCAAAACTGAGTAGTCGTCCAGAGGCAAAGGGTAGGGGACACAGTGGGGGCACAGAGTGGTTTTCTGCAGACTGAGACCATAATGGTCTTAGTTGATAACTCTATTTATCTACGAGAAAGGCCAACCCTCACCTGACTTGAATTCTGGTTCCCTCCTGGGGCCAGAGATTGCATGAGAAGGCCAGGACTTTGGGTGCCTATAGCTCAATGTTTAGAGCACTCATCCCCATGTACTGGGGCTGGTGGGTTTGAACCCAGCCCGGGCCTGCTAAACAAACAAACAAAAAAGAGACAAGCCCAGGGCTGTCAGCAGCTCCTCAGGCGCCCACTGTTGTGTCTTGTCCGTCTTTGGTATATTGCCAAAAGACCTCTTAGCAGGCTCAAGAGAGTCGTAGTTTCTCTCCCTGACCTTCCAGCTCCTTTTTTTCTGCTGCATACGCTCACCTCCCTTTCCCCTCCATCACCCCACCCTCCACCAGATCCTAGCCTCACTGCAGTCTGTCCTTCACTGGACACCTGGCTCCCTGCCAAGCTGGAGCTTATTGCTGTGTTCTTGATGGGACATGAACTGGCAAGGAACTCCTGTCATGACCTCGGCTCACCCAACAAAAGCCTGTGTTTCCTTCAAGGCCCTCCCATCAATAAGGCCTCCTTCGGGCCCTAAGAGGACAGGTCACCCCCACCGTCAGTGCAGGTTGCAGATTGCTGTCTGTTATGGCCCCTCCACTGGTAACTGCTTGCTGCAGAGGTCTTTCATCTTCTTGGGGTGGCATCCTTCCTGAGGGCAGGATCTGAGTCAGCTGCACTTCCCAGTGGTGCCTGGTAGTGGGGTGGGCAGGGCTGGCCCCTGAAGGTGCTCCTGGTTCATCTCCTTACAACTCTGAATAGGATGCTGGCAAACCTCCCTTCCCCCACTGGCTCTGGGGCCATGGTTCTGGAGGACAGCAGCCCGAAAGGGTGTGGCCACGTCTTTGGATTGACATCTCCTCCCTATGCCTTCCTTTGAGTCACTTCCTTTGTGAAGAGCCTTCCAAAGCCAGGGGCTGAAGAAGCGAAAGAGACAAAACGGGGCAATAATCCTGGTCTTTGGAAAATTCTGGAGGGGTGGGAAGAGAAGGGGAGGAAGGAGTTTAAAAGAGGCATCCCTGTGCCTGGGACCAGTCAGATAATAATTCAGAGTTGGAATGGGCCCCCAAAACGATTCCTGATGCTGCCTTTGAGAATCTGATAAAAAGTCCTAACTTGCTCTCAGGAAAAAATGTGTGTACCTACACCCAAGATCCTGCACACTATTTCCCAGGGTTCCAGGACCTCTGCCCCACATCCATTTTGAGATGTCCCTGGGCTGTAGAGACCATAGGTTAAACTTCGCTGATCTAGTCCAGACCTCCCTTTCTCAGTAAGAACCTTGCGCCTCAGAGAGGGATGACTTTACAAGATCACAGAGCTGACTGGTGGCCAGCTTGGGCCAGAATCAGGCTGTGACTCCTCTCAGGGATGCTGTCTTCTCCGACTCCCCTCTCCTGACCAGCTCCACTGAGGCAGCCAGTAGAAGCAGGAGCCTCCCTGGGCAGAGAGGAAGCACCAGGTGCCCCAGCTGCAGGTGTGGTGGTGAGGTAGGCCCACAGGAGCAGTTCCCTGAGACGGAGGCAGGGAAGTTCAGGTTGCTGTGGCCTTCAGTGCAGCCTAGCGAAAACAGACAGGAGTAATGGATGCCCTCCAACACTGGGAGGCTCCCTGCCACGTCCTGTTGAGAGACTCCTTAGGTCCTGGGATCCAGCACTGAGGGACCAGATGGTGCTGGGGAGGTGGAGAGGGTGGGAGCTTTAATAACCTGAGTTACAGGGAAAGAGGGGCTGGGAGGTAGAGAGGGAATGAAAGCAAAATGCCTTTAGGATGTAATTTGCAATAATCCAATCATGAATTTGGCTGATGCCTTCCTGCACCCAGACTGTATATAAGTGAATCAGCATGGTACCTGGGAATTGCCAGCTTCCTGAGAGCATCAATATTCTTGGAGTTTGTCTTTTGAATGGCACAGTGTTAAGTCAAACATGAATTCAAATCTCAGCCTCACCATTAATTAGCCAGCTAATGGGACAGACTTCTGACTTGCTCTGGGGCCTTGTTCTGGAGGAGTTGTTGGGTCACAGAGCCTTCCAGAAGGCTGCTCTATTGCCACTTTCATGTTCTCAGGTACAGAGCTTTCGCACCTCAGCTTCCCCCAGTGCTTAGTTACCAAGACTCTTCTTAGGCTGATAGAGTCTCTGTCACTCGGGTTCTGAGAATATCAGAACATAAGACTAGAGCTTTCCCCATAGAATTGTGTTTATATTTCTTGTTAGAACAAACACAGCTTAGCATAAGATGTCGGCAAACCTCTCTTCCCCTCATGCTGCCAGCATTCGGATCTCAGGTGTGTCTGTCAACAGGCTCGGAAAGTCTCAAGGTGGTGGGGTCTCCTACTCAGCAGCGGCTATTTCCCCGGGGTGCTGGCCAGATTCCTCCCCTAGTGTCATTTGATTTCCTACTCTTCTGGGATCTACAAACCGTGTTCCCAATTATCATACTACCTGAACACCCCTTATTTTCCCAGGAGAAGGGAAAATCTTTTCATTCTCCATCTTTTCTTCTCTTCCTGCTCTTCCTGTCAGGTGGTTCCTGCTCTAGTGTTTTTCTACCAGCTGGAGTATGACTTCTAGCTTTTTCCAAAGACCTTTTCTCTCCAATTAGTCTGTATTAATTTATTCATTCAATTTATCATCAAATGTGTGACATGCCCTTACTTACTGTGTCCAGTCCTACTGAGTGAAAACAGGCACCAGCCCTACCCTTGTGGAGCTGACTTTCTACTAGGGCGACAGATCTCTATTGAAAAGTCTCAGTGGTGACCATAGCTCATTGGGTAGGGTGCCGGCCACATAGACCGAGGCTGGTGGGCTTGAACCTGGCCGGGCCACCTAAAACAACAATAGCAACAACAACAAAAATAGCCAGGCATTGTGGCAGGCACCTATAGTCCCAGCTACTTAGGAGGCTGAGGCAAGAGAATCGCTTAAGCCTAAGTGTTTGAGGTTGCTGTGAGCTGTGACGCCACGGCACTCTACCCAGAGTGACAGCTTGAGGCTCTGTCTCAAAAAAAAAAAAAAAAGGAAAGAAAAATCTCGCAATAGAATCACAAACAGAGATAACTGCTGGGAAGGAATAGCATAAGGAACCATGAAACCATATCTGAGGTGAACACGACAGTGTGAGGATTCAAAAAGGCTCAGCGAAGTGATGTTTGAGCCCAAATCAGAAACGGGTTAGGTGGCACCTGTTAAGAAGAGGGATGGAGGACAAAGGGAGGGTGATTTGGTAGGAGAATGGCCTGTGTAAAGATCATTTCCTGGGTGGCACCTCCCATGGTCCAAGGAGTAGGGTGCCGGTGCATATGCCAGAGGTAGGGGGTTCAAACTCTAGACCAGAGGTTCTTAACTTAGTGTACAGTGGAATCTTGAGAGCTTTTAAAAGTAAGGATCCCAGGGCAGTGCCTGTGGTTCAGTGGGTAAGGCGCCGGCCCCATATACCGAGGGTGGCGGGTTCAAACCCAGCCCCAGCCAAACTGCAACAACAACAACAACAACAACAATAACAAATAGATTATTAAAAAACCAAAGTGGGGCGGCGCCTGTGGCTCGGTGGGTAAGGCGCCGGCCCCATATACCAAGGGTGGCAGGTTCAAACCCAGCCC